GTGCCGCCCCGCGGCGGCCTCGCGGCGCGGCGCTCACCCGGCCTCCCGCATGACGTTGCTGTCGCCGCAGTCGCAGGCGCCCCCCGCCTGGCTCCGGAACATGTTGTAGTCGTGGCCGGCGTGCTCGCCCTGGTGGAAGCACTCGGCGCAGAGGCTCATGCAGGGCGAGATGCCGCACGTCCGGCAGCGGTAGGCCACGAAGTTGGCCGTCCACACGAGGCCGCACAGCGTGGCCGGGTCGTAGGCCCGCACGGCTTGCGCGAAGCCGTCCCAGGGCTCGCCGCCCGACAGCAGGCAGCGGCACCACTCCAGCGCCTCGGCCGCCGCCGCCGCCGGCGCCAGCACCCGCTCCAGCAGCGCCCGCAGCTCGCCCGCCGCCGCCGCGCCGCCCTCGCCGCCCAGCGCCGCCTTCAGCCGCGCCGCCGTCGCCCGCTTGTCCCGGCCGCTGCCGCCGGCCCCCGCCATGATGGGCAACTGAGCGGCCGCCACGGCTGCGCGGGGCTCCCGGCTCCGGGGCTCTCCCCGCCGCCCGCCCGCCCTCCTTCCCCTCCCAGCGGCGCCCGCCTCTCGCGATAGCCGCGGCACCGGCGCCCTGCCCGCCGAGCCCTCCTCCCGACACCGCCCTCCCGTGCGCGCCATCTCCCCTCCTCTTCCTGCTGCCCGCGCAGGTGCTGCCGCCGCTGCCGCCGCCGCGCTGGGGCCGCCCGCCGCCGAGGTGGCCGCGGGGCCGGGGCTGGGGGCGCTGCGAGGCCGGCGCCATGTTCTGCGCCAGCGCGGGGCCGGGCCGGGCCGCGCGTGGTAGCCGCCGCTCAGAGCGGGCACGCGGCGCTTGCCCGGGACCCGAGGGAGAAGCCGGGTCGCCTGCAGGCTCCGTCCTGCCCCGGGCAGCGCCGGGCTCGCCCCCGGGTCCCGTTATCCCTGACACAGGCAGCGCCGCGCGTGGGCTGCGCCGGGGATCCCTGCACAGCGGACTGGGGGCGGGGGGTCATCATTATTACCACGCATCTCACACTCTCAGAGTCATGTTTTTAAATTTCTATCGACAGATTTTCAGTTGTGTAATGGAAAACTTAGGAAAGCCCCAAACGAAACCGAGCCACTTCAGCCTGAGGCCCAGGCAGAGGGGCACTCGGGGCAGCCCCCGGCGCTAGCGCCACCCGCCTGCCCCCCAGCTTCTAGGGGCGAAACAAAAAGGCTGAAAATCAACTGAGCGCTTTTGTGTTTGTTTCTGCAAGCGACAGGCAGGGATCCCTGCAGTTCTTCCCTGTTCGCTCAGCCCGGTGTCCCGGTGAGGCGGAGCGGCGGAGCTCCCACAGGTCCCTCGGCCGCCCCTCCACACCGGGAGGTCGCTGCTGTCATCCAGAGCCAGGCCACAGCCATGAAGAAAACAAAGCTCAAGGAGCTGGAGAGCTGCCTGCAGGACGTCGACGTCTTCGAAAGGCCCAAGCTGCTGCTGGAGCAGTACCCGACAAGGCCGCACATCGCAGGTAGGGCTGCGCTTCATCCAGTGCCCGGTCTGGTCAGCACTGCTCAAAAAGCGCCTTCTCGCGTTGGCTTCCGTGGTACTGCCTCGTTTGAAGCTGCTGCACCATAAAAGCGCTGAGAGATTGTGTCCATCAGGAGCACGCTCTGCTTTATGAACTGTTATCCCTTTGCATTAAAAGTATACTGTTAATAAGCAACACAAAACCAAGTAAGTCAATTTCAAAGATGAATTGTGATAGAAACATGTTACATCTAAAATATGATAGCTGAACGTTTTTTCTTTAGTGTGGCATAAAATGAGAAAGTGGTGCGTGTACCTCTTCGGTACCTTAATTCTGATTTTTCCAGCTTTTTACATCTTACAGAGCAGTGTTTCTAAGGGTGTGCCTCATGCTTTTATGGTTGAGGCATGCCTGAGGCATGGTCATTCCCTGAAAACAGTATCTGTAGCTCTGTATGAAATATCCCTCAAAGGCCAAGAGCTAGACCCTTACTACTTTGAAAAATGCTTCGATGTGTTTTAAGCATAAAGGATAAGCACAGCCAGGGAGAGCATCATTTAAATTTAACATGACTGAGTTTTCTGAATGCAGAAAGTGACTTTTATCAACAAATATGTGCTTATTAGATTTACTGATTTTTTTCCCCTAGCATGTATGCTTTATACAATTCACAATACTTTTGATGACATTGAAAACAAAACAGTTGCAGACTTGGGATGTGGCTGCGGCATGCTCAGCATTGGAAGCGCCATGTTAGGAGCAGGGTAAGTAAATGGGTCATTTTTAGTATAGAAGGGAGGGGAAAATAAAATTATAACATAGTAATGCTGAACTGAACTTATTTTGGGTATCTAATTTGACACACAACCAGCACCAGCCTGTTAAGTATGTATAAACAGTCAATAATCATTCAACTAGTGGGAGAGATTGACAAGAGCACTGAATGCAGATGTCATTATGTTTGGTTTCCCTGAAGCACTATATTAACACATATGAAATTTCTTTCACAAAACTTGAAACAGATGCTGGGAAAAGGCAGGAGCACTGATCACAGTTTCAGCAACCCTGGATTTCTATACTATGTGCCAATTGTATTTCACTTAGAAAATGCGCACACAGATACCTCTTAAAATTTTACTACAGAACTTAGAAGGCACTGCATTTAAATCATTTTGAAAACAGACATTGTTTTCGTAAAAGAATGTAGCTTTTTTTTGTTTTTGCTTTTTTAAACAGATTGTGTGTGGGGTTTGACATAGATGCAGATGCACTGGAAATATTTAATAGAAATGTTGAAGAATTTGAGCTCGCAAACATCAACATGGTTCAGTGTGACATTTGCTCTTTGTCAGAGACCATGCCAGAAACTTTTGACACAGTAATTATGAATCCTCCTTTTGGAACCAAACACAATAAAGGTTGGTAATTATAAAAAAAATCCTTATTCAAATTATTTTTCTTTTACTAAAAGTAATTAGGAAAGCTGCAGAAATACTTTCCATGCCTTAATGTGTGCGCTGCTGTTTCTCAGATGCCTAAGATAAGCAGAATAATAGCTAAGTATTTTAAAAAATAGGTCATTTTGCAAAAAGCAACAACAGTGAAGTATAAAGTAGGTCTTAAACTAGTGCCTATTTAAAGTTTGCATTTAACAATTCCAATAACTTGAATGCTCTTTTAGGTATGGATATGATTTTTCTGAAAACAGCTTTACGAATGGCAAGAACAGCTGTCTACTCCCTTCACAAAACATCAACCCGACAAGTAAGTGCTTAATTTTAGTGGAGTATGGCTGTTAACCAGTTACATAGCCCATAGCTTCACTAATTTGACCGGGTCTTTATTGGGCATGAAACTTACTTTGGTTAAATACTTATTATGTCAGAATATTCAGTGATGCACATAAGACCACAGGAAGACAATACAATATTGGAAACATGGAAAACTAATTATAGGGACTTCTTAAAGTAGAAAGGGTACAGATATTATAAAAATGTATGTAAACTAGCTTTTAAGCATGACCTGCATCCGTTTAATACCCTAGCACATCCAAAAGAAAGCAGATGAATGGAAAGTGAAGATGGAAGTTATAGCAGGTAAGATTTTTTTTTTTTCTTCTTAAGAAAAAAAAATACATTAACAACTAATCTCTGGGCCATACTAGCCAGACATCAAGAGGTAACTTCTTTGGTTTAAAATACAAAATGGAAGAGGTATTTTCTTTCAAGTCTTGTGACCTGCTAAGACAGAGGAAGCAAGCTTTAAAAAATAAAAAAAAAGAAAATAAAAAAAAAAAAAGAATCCTGTACTTGTAGTAACTTAATTATTACTTCTGATAAGTGATCAAGATTCTTCCTTATTTTTAAATAGCATGATAGATGTTTTATACAGTCATACACCTAAGATATGAAAGCTGCACAAGTACTTGAGACACTCCTAGATTTCTGTAACTCATCTCACTTACCATCTAGATTTGGGTTAAGTGTTGAGGCAGCCTAGTCCAGAAGTCAAAGCAATTACCAAGCCACAACTGTTTGAGCCTGGCCCCTAGAAAGCTTAGAAGCAGAGTGTGGGATACAAGCTCCCTATTAATCATTTGAACACAGCAGTATTCTTTTCGCTGTTCACAGAACTTAAATATGACCTACCAGCATCATACAAGTTTCATAAGAAGAAATCAGTAAGTATAAAAACTAACATGCCTGAGAAAAATTGTTGTCCTGTACTAGACAGGTACATTATACTGAACAACAGAGCTTTAGAGCAGATGTACTGGGCAGCAGTACAACATTGGAGGTGTCACAGTGAAAGCACTGAGTTGTGCTGTCATTCGTACAGAGTAGTTGGGCAGGGGTGGGGAAGAAGAGGCATTTTAACACACAGCAAACCTGCACACCAAACCTCATGAAAGCTACCACCTAGAAGTAGCGCTATTGATTCTGCAATTACTAGAGATCTGCTTAATCATGGAGGAGCTTAATCAAGGCTAAATAACTCCTTAAATAGACCTAGGGCTATAGCAGCAGGACAACTTCAGCGTTGTGCGCAGCAGAGGAGGCTGCAGGAGGAAGCTGCGCACTTAACTGTGCAGAAGCGGGAACATTTTGGGGTTGGAATAACCACCACCCAGCGTTGTACCTGCTGAAAATGCTGCAGTAGACTGCTCAGGAGCTGAAGGCTTAACTGGGCAGGCTGAAGTGGCATAGGCCAGAGGGGATTATTCACCTCTACTCAGGTTCTTTACAATATGAATTCATGCTGAAAGCCTGTCCTTCAGCTTTGCTACCTAGCAGTCACAGCTTTATATTACATGAAGAGTGAAGCTTCGGAGGTGAACCGTTTAAGTTCTCCATTTATTGACAGCAGCTAGTGAATATAACTGAAATTACAAAGGCTATTCAAGGATGGAACCTTTTACACTTGAATGAGGTACCAGAGAAGTTGAGAGGACTGACAGTATAAACAAGACTATAAATATAAAAAAAACTTTTCCAGAGTGGCATGTTAGAGTAAGCATGCTTCCTAAAACAAACAAACAAAAACAAAATAAAAGTTATTAACAAAATAAAGCTTTCCTCTCGTTTTAGGTTGACATTGAAGTGGATTTCATTAGATTTTCTGTTGACAAACTCTTGAACCAAGGCATGGCTTTAAAACCTATTTAAAATGGATTAATAAAAACAATGATTTTTATTTTAGTATTACTGGTCTCCGCCTCCATTTTCTGTTTTCAGCTGTTTCGGTGCAGGTTCTTCTTTCTCAATTTCCTCAAGTGGTCTCTTCTTTGGACTTGCTGGTTCTGCAAGATTGAATGCCGAAGTTATTTATGATAAAGGAAGCTTTCAGTATTACTTAAGTCTTCCAAAAAGTAAACTTACTGAAATCCCAAAACAGTGGTCTTATTATGTAGCCCAAGAATGGGTTCTAGTTTATCCACAGCCACTGCTATGCTAGAGGATTGCTTATCCTCCAATATCC